ACTATCGTGGATTTGCGTCTCCGTCATAGGCGCTCGCATGAGACGAACTATGTTCGCGAATGCGACGTATCCGAGGCAGCCTTCCCGGCAGTGGCGTTTAGAGCCACGGAGGGTCAGATCCAGAGTGGGATGGCCGCCGAGCGCGCGCGCTGTACTTGCGTGGCTTGCAAGCGTAACGTGCGGTGGGGCTCGCCCATGCGCTCCAGGCATTTCAAGACGCGCCGATACCTTCACCGTGCTCCTATCCTATACACTGGGAATTCTCAAGATGCCGCGAGGAAAAGGAACCCGATCGCCCCGCGCGCGAACGAGTTCAACGAATGCAGGTTCGCGGGCCACCGCATCAGGCCGCGACCGCGTGCCGGTCAACGCCCGCGAGCACCAGCGCGACCTGGGGGACCACGTCACCCTAGCAACCAGCAGGTGGAGCTGCCTGGATGAGCCGACTTGGGGGCAGCTGATGAAGCCGCTCTACCAGCGCCGCCCTCAGGTGCGCCAGGAGCCAGCTCGTCCTCCAGTGCTGTGGCTTAGAGCAGCAGCTCTGGCGAGTGTGTCGCTTGACCGCAGAGTTCTGTTTCGGGTGGCTGTGTCGCCAGGCCGTGGCCACGAGCCAGCTCAGCTACTGGGAACGTGCGGAGACGAGCAGCGCGACGAGCCACCAACGCATCGGTTGGCAATCCGACTCCCTCCGACTGGACTCGTTCGACGTCGCATGCCTATGCGTGCGGTGCGGGGAGATTCGCGTGAGACGCGCATGCGAGAGACGCGCAAATTGCGCGTCTGGTGGCGGCGCGCCACCAAGAAGAAAATGGCACGAGCACTACGCGCAGCCAATATTCCCCAGGACATCTTCGACCTCATACTCACAGCTGGTCAATAATTGTAGGGAATGCCGCAAGTGACGACCCTTGGCGCGCCAGGCGATCCCCGCGCGCCGACTCTCATCGCGAAGAAACCGGCACGTCGAGCTCGATATTTTCGACAGCAGGGATCGCATGATTATGCATCTCGTCTTCCGCGCCTCACGTTGGCGCAGCGGCCAGGATATCGACTCCAAACGCGACTCGGCTCTGCTTGCAGCCATCGACCGATCATGGGTCCAAATCTTCGGTGCGATGGAGACGTTTATCATGGGCGGAGTGGGCTGCGTGGCCTCAACGTGCTTCTTGCAGGAGTAATGGGGCGAGGAGACAAGTTGGAGATCCGCGCCTTGCGACAGCGCGCGCTTCATCGAACGGCGTGGTGCTATACTGCGTCATGCAGTTCACGCCACGGAGGGCAGCTAGAGCGCGAAGGTATTGTGGCCAACTTCGATTCTATGCTTGCTCGCGCTTTACAGGCATCAGCGTTGCGCGCGGCGGCGGCGTCATCCCGTGCAACGTCGTCTTTGGGGGGCAGCCAGATGTGCTGCCACCGCTGGAACCAGACGAAGAGGTGAGCTGTTTGGCGGCTATGTGGCCGGGGCCGGTCGTTCTGCTGGTGGGGAAGTGCAGACTTGCCGTTTGCAGTGGCGAGTCAGAGAGACCGCGCTGCAACGCATGATTGAGGCGGCGTCCATCTCCCGCGGCGGCCGCGCCCCCCAGACACGCGCCACCGAGTCCTGAGAAGGCCGCTTCAACGTTGGCGACAGGTGCAGACCCACAGGCCTGCGAGCACAAAAGAGGTACGGGGTTGGGCGGGCCCTGGGACCGTCCAGTCTGTCGATCTGGCTTGAGGCCAGGTAGCGGTCTAGTGCCACCGAACCGACATGATCTGCATATTGCAGGACGTCCAGCCCTTCATCGGTGCCGTCTTCAACGACGTGGGCACCGGCTTGGCTAGAGCTGGCCTGGCCTAGGACCGAGTGGAGGAAATCATTGAGCACGTCATGCCAGGCTCCGGGACCAGGACCTTCGGCCACTGGGAGGACGTACGTGCGCTGATGACCGCGCAGACGCGGCACCGCCCAGACATCGTCGAAGCTCTGCGCCACGTTTCGCGGAGATCTTTTCAGCTGCCAGACTTTCCTGCCGTGCGTCTACTGTGGTGCCGCTACTGCCTGCGCGGCGCTGCCCTGGGCGACTATGCCGCGCTAGAGGAGGAGGACGAACATGGAAGATGCGTTGAGTATCCAGGGGTCCGCGAAGCATTCCTGAGCTTAGACGAGGAACCGTCGAGTTCCTGTGCAGCGGTGCATAATTTGTGCGCCGCCGTCAAGACCGCGGTTATCAAGCGCTGTGCCGATCTTCTGACTACGGAAGAGGTGTCCAGGCTGTCCACGGAGGTGTCTGCAGCCATCCTCAAGGAGCCCGCCATCTGGGCCAAGTGCAAAATTTTGCGGGCGGCGACCATTCAAGGGCGCCTGAAGGCATGAACTCCAGGCACATCTTCAAGTGGAAGCACCAGAAGGGCCCCGACGGCAAGACCGCGCGGACCATCCGGCGCCGCATGGCGCTCAAGGCTTCTGCGACATGGGCGCTGGCGCCCTGGAGATATTCGCGGGGGACAGCCAAGCGCGCCTCGCAGCGCATGCTGTCCTCGGGGGCTGCGCGCCGCCTGGACTGGGTCTACGTCGCAGTGGCCGCCGAGCAGGCGTTCCCGCGGGCATGGCGCATGGCGAGATGCGGCAACAAGGTGGAGCGCTGGGCGAGATAAATTCCACCCTGCCGCCCGGCAGCGCAGGGATCCTTGGGCAGGTGCCCATCTGCAAGTCCTTCGACGAGAGGACCCAGTGCCTGCGCTGCATCCAGCCGGCGCGGGCTGCAAGGACGCACCCCGAGTCTTGTGTTTGGAACTTGCCCTGGTCACGCGCTCGCCGGAGTGCGGCGCCGAACCCGCCGGGCGGGGCCTGGTTGTCGAGGGCGAGCGCGAGGCGTCCAGCATTTGTGTTTTTAGCGACTCGAAGCTTGTGTCCATGTCGTCCAAGCGCTCTGATGACCTGAAGATCGCCAGACAAAAGGAGCCCGTCGACAAGCTCATTGGCCGTGTCGAGGGCGTCTTCGGCAGGAAGGAAGGAGGCTGCGGCGACTTCGCCAACTGCGGTGTCCACCAACACCGCGGCGCCGACGGCGCCGTGGCGCTCGACCAGGGCGAGCACGTCGACGCCCCGAGGCCGATCGGGCACGTGGACCTGGTCAAAGCGAAGGCCGACGAGCCAGCATGACCGACCGACCTTTTTTTCCTCGCTGGGAGCAGCTGCTTGCGCCCTGCTCGCCCAGCGCCGCGCCGCAGTGTGCGCTGTTGGTCTGCAGCGGGCCATGAACCAGCTTTTTCAACAACGCGTTATGCAGCTTAATTCCGTGGCACTTGCAATGCAGAAGACCGTGGCCCGCGTGGACTGCGCTGGCCAGATTTGCGTGGTCAGTGGCGGGTCCCATAAGAGGGAGGAGGATGCCAGGTGCGGCATTGGGGGCGCCGCATATGCGCGCTTCGGCCAGTGCCGCAGTGCCGGCAAGGGGGTCGGCCACGTTCTCGATGCCGTGAGACGCTCGCGCAAATTCGCGTGAAGGTCTTCGTTCGGCTCCGAGCTGCTTGCAGCGCGCTGCGCAGAAAATTGTTTGCAGGACTACGTGCTCACGATCCACGAGAAGATCCGAGGCCCAGTCTCAGGCGGGGAGATCAGGGAGCTCAGAGAGGAGGGGGCCGTGCCGCGCCGGCAACCTTGGTCGTGGACGGGATGTCCGTCTTTACGGCCATCGCCATGGATCCCGTGCGTCTCCACCTTCAGAGCACAGCATGGCAGGCCACCTGTGGTGGCTTTCCGACCGGCGCCGCGCCGGGCAGGTCACCGACATGCTTTGGTGCGATGCCCGCGATATGAGAGCCAACCCCAAGACGAAGGTGAGTGCCAGGAGCTCATTTGGGGCGTGATGTGCTGGAAGCTCAATTACGACCACGCCGTGGTCAGACTGAGCGACGAGGGGTTCAGGCAGACCGTGCCCAGTTCCCGCCGCAGCGACCTCAGGACGGATGAGGAAAACGTTTTACCGACGGGATGAACAGCAAGTTGTCTCATTACATATTACCGCGGCATTAGCTGTCATCTTTCGGTCCGCCTGCTCGGCCGTCGCCTTTCGGTCCGCCGCATCAGCTGTCACTTTTCGGCTGCAGAACGTAGCGTCGGCGGTCGTATGTCGCGAACTGTGATCGCGAATGCGACATAGGAATGAGGCGAAGACGTCCGCACATAGTGAATTATGCTCACGAACGCGTGGCAGGAGATATGAGATCATGCCACACAAAGGCGAACTATGTTCGCAAATGGGAAATAATGAGTCAAGCAACTGATTGGGGCTGTTACCATGAACTGCGTTCGTGGAGCAGCACATTTTTGACGTCGAGCACCTTAATCATTTCACTGTGCTCCTCCAGTTCTCTGCTCTCCTCAGTCTTCTCGCAAATTTGCGCGGAGGACCTGGTCTTTTGAAGGCCCCCGTTGAGCCTTGCCTCGCATCGCGGCATGCGTCAGCCAGTTTCGGCTTGTTCTAGGACCTAGTTGTCGCCCTTTCCTCGTGTGCTGTAAAGGCGGTCTGGTTTGGGAAATTTGGGGGCCAAGGTGCCTTGCTGCGACACGAATTATGGGAACGCCCAGGGCGTGCCGACATCGGGGCTTCCGATTCCGGCGTGCTGTTCTGAGGCTTGGTTGGTTGCGGCGCGGTTTGCGTGCCGTAACCGAGGGGGCACACGCATTCGCTTGACCACCAGAGTCGAAAAATTGCCTACTGATAGTTCTTGCCTCTTTTGCCCTGCCCGATTTTGCTTTTCCCACGGCCGTTTTGTTCGCGGGCACGGAAGGGATTCTTTTCCGTGCCCGTGGTTGACCCGTGTTAACACCGTGCTAGTCCACGTGCACAAGCATGGCTCCACGTACATCCGTTTCATGGTGTCCACCTTTCTCCTCTTCTCCTACTCTCTTTTTCCTGTCCAGTCTTGTGTCCCTCACTGGTTGTACCTGTGGAGGCGTGGGCAGGAAGGGCGGCCAGCGCGCGGCGCAACCTCTCTGGGCTCGCGCGCGGCCGCAGGATCCCATACTGGAGCTGGAGGCCCCGATCAAGATAGTTGGAGACATACACGGGCAGTACCCTTCAGTGACGAAATCTGAAGCATACCTTCGCTGCCTATTGATTGGGGCCCGACGTGGGTTCTGTGGTCGAGGTGCACTTCTCTTGTGCCCGTCGGCAGTTCGGCGAATACAAAGAGTGTGGTTACGTTGGGGTGTGGTTTGCGATCGGCGCCTTTGGGGCCTGGGGGGAACGACGCTGTCCTCGTCGGGGTTCCTCGGGGTGCGGCGGAGAATCCTATCCAGGTCCCAACTTGCCCCCCAGGGTGCCTCACAGTGTGCGGGTTGCAACCACACCCTTTGCAATCCACACCCTTCGGAGTCGCCGAGCAGTTGCTGAACCCCCAGTTGGTGTTTCCGGGCCCCCCAGCATTTGGAGAGTGGTATGGGCAGGGTCCGCACGTGGCTCCCTATGTTCCGCCCGCATGCGCTGCCAACTCGTATATAAGTGTAGTTTTACAGACAAGCACACGTACACACATGTGCATGTGTCTGTGTATACATGCGTATGTATAGGCACATGTACAAACATACGTACATACATACATACATGCAGCCATACATACACACATTTGCATACATACATACTTACGCACATACATACGTCCACACAAATACATGCATATACATACATAAACACATACACACATTAACATACACATACATACACATACATACATGCACAAACACACACATGTATCGCCACCTGCATACATACGTGTTTACACACGTTCATCATACATAGACATACACATACACATACACATACACCCATACACATTCCATACACATGCACATACACATGCACGGACAAATACACAGACACATACCCATGCACTTACACATACACATATACATACACGTACACATACGCATACACATACACATACACATGCACATGCACATGCACACATACATACACACCTATATATGTATATGTATACACCTATATGTATATATATATGTATATGTATTTGTATATGTATATGCATACGTGCATAGGTATGCATATATGTATATATGTTTCTATATACATATAAATATAAGACTGCAGTGGCGCTTCGCGCCATGCGCCTTGGTCCCTGAAGTTTGGTATGCAGGCGGAATGGCAGGAAGGTCAATCCGACAATTTAGCGATAACTCTTTCTTGCCTTTTCCAGCATCGCCGCTAAAGTATATTATTCGTTATCCTTCCTCCATGCTTACTTTTCCTCATTCTCGCCATACCCTGCGCATTTTCCCCATCCTCCTCAGCTCTTTTTGCGCAGGCTCCTCCTTGGAGAGCCTCTGGGGGCCTCACAAAAGTTTCAGGCTTTCTTAAGGTCTTCTGGAGGCCTCCTTGGCGTGTTCTGGAGGTTCTGGGGGCTCCCTCGGGCCACCTTGTCTCCAACCGTGGTCTCCCTCAATGATCGTTTCACGATTTGGAATGCTTCGGAGGGTGTCTTGGGGCCGTCTTGGGCCGCTATGGGGCTCTCTTAGGACCTTCTTTGACCCCTGTTGTGCCGTTTTGGGGCTCTCTTGGACTGCCCGGAAGCCCTTTCTGATGGTTTTTGGGGCGATTTTGGACCCTCCCAGGCGGCTTCGGACGCCCAGAAGACTGCCGTATTGGAGCGTCGGGAAGCCGAGCAGAGGAGAACCCCAACATTCACCAAACAACCCGCAGAAAATCAATGATTGTTGCCTCTTGGGGCCTTCTTGGGAGTGCTCTTGGAGGCTTTTTGAGGCTTTTGGGGCCGTCCTGGAGGCCTCTTGGGCCATCTTGAGGTCACGTCGGTCACTCTCGGAGCGCTCTTGTGCTGTCTTGGGGGTCTCTGAGACGTCTCCGATGACCCCCCTGATCGCCCTAGGTGTGCTGGGAAGGCTTGGCAAAACGCCCTGCGAGGCTTGGGGGGCCGCTTCGAGGCCCGTCCGCAGGGTCCCAAAGCTCAAGATCCTGGGAGTCCGGTTTTTTTTTGGGGGGGTCCCCCGCCCGGGCTCATACAAATATAGGGAGAGGATTATACATATATATATATATATATGTATATGTATATACACATGTATGAATGCATGCATACATACATACATACACACATATACACACATCGACATACACATACATCTATTTGTATATACGCACATGCGCAAACACACGTGCGTACACATGCAGTATCTAGCTGTACTAATACAGCCGTTTCTTTTTTCACAGAAAACTGCTCTGGGACAACTTCGGCCCCAGCCGGGGAGGCTGAGTCCGGAGCGCTCCAGGAGGGTCCGCGACGGCCCCAGAAGGTCCCAAGACGGCACCGCAGGGCCTCCCAGAGGCTTCAAGACGGCCACGATGGGCATCAGATGGGCCCCAGATGGCCACTCGACGGCCGACTGCTCAACGGGCTCTCCAGATGGCCCAATGGGGGCTCGAAGATGTTTCCCAAGAGGCCCTCGGGAGGGACATTATTCCTCTTCCTATATTTTTTAGCCCGGGCGGGGGGACCCCCGCCCGCCTCTTGGGGCGTTTTTCCTTCGTAGCGTTTCGCCAGACGGTTCCCACAGCGTTCAAATATTTCCTCCCGCCAGAATCTCCACAGACGGGGCCGCGCCGAGGGGTCTCGCCAGTCTGGCGGCGCGTGCTGGCAGCGCTCACTATGGAGTTCTGGCCCGATGAGTCCAGAAATGGACCTCACTATGGTGTTCTGGCTCGATATTGACTAGAAATGAGGCGCACTGTGATGTTCTGGCTCGATGTCAGACCTCCCAGATCCCAAACTAAGACTTACTATCGTGTTCTGCTCGCTTTGGATCAGACATGCAACCCACTATCGTGATCTGGCTTGATTTCCCTATGTTTGAACCTCCACACGGGGAGGGAGGGAGGGAGAGAGGGAGGGATGGGTGCCTCTGCGACCTGGGTGGTGGTGGCGGTAATCTCAGCCAGGCCCCTCCCCCCCGTACCCTACCCCCTGACCCCCTCTGCCCCGCCATACCCCCCCCCACGCCTCCTCCTGTCAGGGAGGGGGAAGGGGGAGGGAATCGATTTAATTCCGACGCTTCTTTTCTGTGATTGTTTCTCCAGTCCCTTGGGACTGGCGACGACGAAGAAGACGACGACAGCGTCTCACAGACGCCAAAGGGTCGGCGGATGTCCTTTCGCTGGAGACTCGATCCGAAACAAGAGGAGGAAGAGGAGGAGGAGGAGGAGGAGGAGGAGGAGGAGGAGGAGGAGGAGGAGGAGGAGGAGGAGGAGGAGGCGGAGGAGGAGGAGGAGGAGGAGGAGGAGGAGGAGGAGGAGGAGGAGGAGGAGGAGGAGGAGGAGGAGGAGGAGGAGGAGGAGGAGGCGGAGGAGGAGGAGGAGGAGGAGGAGGAGGCGGAGGAGGCGGAGGAGGCGGAGGAGGCGGAGGCGGAGGAGGAGGAGGAGGAGGAGGAGGAGGAGGAGAGGAGGAGGAGGGGGAGGGAGGGGGAGGAGTGGGAGGAGGGGGAGGAGTGGAGGAGAGAGGTAGGAGGAGGAGGAGGAGGAAGGAGGAGGAGGAGGAGGCGGAGGAGGAGGAGGAGGAGGGGAGGAGGAGGAGGAGGGGAGGAGGAGGAGGAGGAGGAGGAGGGAGGAGGAGGAGGAGGAGGAGGAGGAGGAGGAGGAGGAGGAGGAGGAGGAGGAGGAGGAGGAGGAGGAGAGGAGGAGAGGAGGCGGAGGCGGAGGCGGAGGCGGAGGAGGAGGAGGAGGAGGAGGAGGTGGAGGAGGAGGAGGAGGAGGAGGAGGGAGGAGGAGGAGGAGGAGGAGGAGGAGGAGGAGGGGAGGAGGGGGAGGGGGAGGGGGAGGGGGAGGAGGAGGAGGAGGAGGAGGAGGAGGAGGAGGAGGAGGAGGAGGAGGAGGAGGAGGAGGAGGAGGAGGAGGAGGAGGAGGAGAGAGGAGGAGGAGGAGGAGGAGGAGGAGGAGGAGGAGGAGGAGGAGGAGGAGGAGGAGGAGAGGAGGAGGAGGAGGAGGAGGAGGAGGAGGAGGAGGAGGAGGAGGAGGAAGGGCAGCCTGGTTCTTCGTTGGCACCGCCCTCCGCTGCCTGCTGGCGCAGGTACCACGACCTGCTGCGCCTCTTCCAGTATGGGGGGTTCCCTCCAGAGAGCAACTACCTCTTCCTCGGCGACTACGCCCCCGCCCTGGCTGCCGTGCCCTCGCCCGCCCCCACTAGTTGTTCTGCCCATTCCAGCCTCTCCTCCTCCTGCCTTTCTCTCTCTCTGAACTCCCTTGTGCGCGGCCATATCGATTTACAAGGGCCCTTGAGCTATCATGGTGCGCCGGTGACGGACGCGCCTTAGCCTCCGTAGAAGGACAGAGGACGTGCTTTCTTCTAGCACGGGTCCCCTCCAATTGTACCTCGTGTCTTTCTGTATCCAATCAGCTACTCCAATACAGTCCGCACCCACCCTCGCTTTCGGTAGCAAGCCATAGGAGCCCCGTTCCAGGCCTCTCAAATGGGGTCGGAGTAGATGGGGTCGGAGGATCGCGCCGCATTGCCGATGCACCGCCGATGCGGTTCGGACCCCATATAGGAGGCCTCTATTCGGATGTTCTCGCAATTCCACCTTTACTGTGCGCTGGCGTGTGCTAGCGTCTGGTAGTCGATGCGAAGGCGATGATTCAGCGGTGCTGTAGTTTTTGATTTAGCGTCGTTCTACCGTTGGCTCGCGTTGATTAGCGGTGGTTTACGTATATTCGCAACAGCCAACAAGATGGCATGGACGGCGTCCAGCAGTTGCCATCGATTTCGTTGATCCTCAGGACGTGCGTTTGCCCAATGTGTGCTGACCCCGCGGGCTCCGCCAATAGGCACGCAGCCTCTGCCAACCATCCCTGCGCCGCCCGCGCCGCACTGAAGGGTTTTTGTGGACAGGCTCACGTTGGCGCTAACGCGCGTTCTGGGGATCCTCGGCCCCCGCCCCTGTTCAGTTTCCCGTTTTCTCCCCTCAGGGCTCGTCTTCTCTTCCTCGTCACCCTTCCCCCCCCACTTTTCCATTCCGCCCCCCGCACTCGTCCGTCTACGGAAGAGGGGTATGGGGAGGACGGGAAGGAGGGGGTGGAGGGGGAAAACGAGGGGGAAAGAGAGAGGGACAGAGGAGGGGGAGGAGGAGGAGGAGGAGGGTGGGAGGAAAGAGCGAAGGGACGCATGGATGGATGGATGTATGGGTGGATGGATGAATGGAGGGAGGGAGGGCGGGCGGGCAGGCGGGCGGGAGGGAAGGAGGAGGAGGAGGAGGAGGAGGAGGAGGAGGAGGAGGAGAAAGAGGAGGAGGAGGAGGAGGAGGGGGGGCAAAAACAGGAACAGGAACAGGAGCAGGACAAAAACCAGGACAAGGGGGAGGTGGAGGGGGATGATGATGATGATGATGATGATGATGATGATGATGATGATGATGATGATGATGATGATGATGATGAGGAGGAGGAGGAGGAGGAGGAGGAGGAGGAGGAGGAGGAGGAGGAATAATATGAATAAGAGGAACACGATGAATACGAGTAATAACAAGAACATGCATAACACATACTATTAATAATACTGTTAATCATACCGATATTAATAATATTAAAACATAAAGGTCATACGCATAAGGACAGTATTACTAATAAGACTATTCCGAATAACAATCATAATACGAATAATAATGCGAACACTAGTAGTAATACAAATGATAATAATAACCATAATCATACGTAATCATACTAAGAAGACTACGAATAATACTATTGTTAATAGTAACATTACGAATGCTACGACGAAGAATACAAAGACTACGCGTACTAATACTACGAAGAAGAAGGCGAACAACAATAATAATGAGAAGAACAATAGGAGGAATACTAATAATGGTAATAATAATACTAGTAGTAATATTACTGATAATAAACGGAATAATAATACTCGCAATCATAATATTCATAAGAAGAATAATAATAAGAAACATGAGAATACTAGTAACATAATAAGAATAATAGTAATACTGGTAATACTAAGAATACTGTTATTAATCCGACGAATAATAATACGGATACGAATAATAATGCTATCCAGAATAAGAATAAACATGTTACTAAGAATACTAGGAATACTATTACAATTAGTTATATGATAATACTGATAACGTTCAAACTAGTAGTAACAATAATAATAAGCACAATAATAATAGCAATGCTACTAAAACTAATAATAGCAATATTATAATAATCATAATAAGAAAACTAATATTATAAAGGAGAATAAACAGAGGAGGAGGAGGAGGAGGAAGATAAGGAAGAGAAGCATGAGGAGCGAAAAGAGAAAATGGAGGAGGAGGAGGAAAAGGAGGAGGAGGAGAAAGGGGAGGAGGAAAAGGAGGAGGAGGAGGCGAAGGAGGAGGAAGAGGAGGAGGAGGAGGAGAAAGAGGAGGAGGAGGAGAAGGAGGAGGAGGAGGGCCAGTGTAAACCCAAGCGTCATCAAAGATGTTGGAATAAACCGTGCCTCCAAGCTCCCTCTTCATAGACACCCACAACGGCTCATTTCCATCGAGGGAACTGCCTCGTTGGAAGGCAACCGTTCGAAGACCCTGAAGCATGCCAAAACATTGTTCTCGGGATTCCAACGCCATGGGTCAACCGGACTTTTGCGTTTTGACGGCCCTGACTCGTGCCAGAACGCCGTTCTTGGTTCAACAACGCGAATGAACGGAATTGTTGCGCCCTCATAATCCTGAATCCTCCAAAACACCACTTCTGGTATTTTGATCATGGGACGGGAATCCGTAGAACTCTTGCAGATTTTATTATCGAATGTGCGCGGCGCCAAGGCGGGTGCCACATTCTGAAAAGGAGCCGGCCTCAATTCTTGAAACCCTTGCACATTTTTAGAACGGATGTGAGCGGCGCTAAGGCGGGATCCACATTTTGAAAAGGAGCCGCCCTCAGCCCGTGAAGCTCTTCAATTTTTGCTTGGATGTGCACGGCGCTAAGGCGAGAACCACACTTTGAAAACGGGTTCTTTTCAATCCGTGGAATTCTTGCAATCTTTTAATTCGACTGTGCGCGGCGCCAAGGTGAGAGCCACGTGTTGAAAACCACCCGCCCTCAATCCGTGAAGCTCTTGCAGATAATTCGAATGTGCGCGTCGCTAACGCGAGAACCCCATATTGAAAACGGCCCGCCCCCTGTTGCCAATTTTGAAGCTTCACGGTCATAATTGGTGAGGAAAACCCAGGCGAAACGCCCGGCCCGCCCTAAAAATTGGCTTCGGGGTGCGACAGGGATTATAAGGAAAAAGGAATTGAAGAGGAGGAGGAGGAGGAGGAGGAGGAGGAGGAGGAGGAGAAGCAGGAGGAGGAGGAGGACGAGGAGGAGGTGGAGGAGGAGGAGGAAGAGGAGGAGGAAGAGGAGGAGGAGGAGGATGAGGAGGAGGAAGAAGAGGAGGAGGAGGCGGTGGATGAGGAGGAGGAGGTGGAGAAGGAGGAGGGGGAGGAGGAGCCTCCCACCCACCCTGGTGACCCCCCCGCCCGCAATGCGCCGGCGCGGCCTCTCGGGGGCGGCCCCGAGGTCGACCGTGGGAAGCAGTCCCTCGAGGTAATCATTCTGCTGCTAGTGTCCTGGCCTCGGCTCTCGGCGCTCGGCGCCTCGGAGCGTGTGCGTCGTCCCCTCTCTCTGTCGGTCTCCCTCTCTCTGTCGGTCTCCCCTCTCTCTTTATGCGTTTCTCTGCTTACACATGTACAGGTATAGGTATATGTATATGTATATGTATATGTATATGTATATGTCTATGTATATGTATGTATGTATATGTATATGTATATGTAAATGTATATGTATATGTATATGTATATGTATATGTATATATGTATATATATATATATATATATATATATATCCACACGGTATAGTCCATTCAAGGTCCCCCGATTTGTTGTCCCAAGGCGAGAGTCTTGTCTTACCGTACACGGGTGGGGCTTGTGAGGTGGACGTAGAGGAAGATGATGAATTGATGAACGGAGATGCGGGAGGGCCGGCGGCGGCGGGCGGGCGGCGGGCGTGTCGGGATTGGAGTCGACTCCTTAAGGATTCTATCTTGCAGCGGAAGCCTGTTGAGTACTGGGTGTTGTCTTGGAGACGGGGGTTGTTGAGTGCAAGGTGTTGTCTTGGAGACGGAGGCTATTGAGTACAGGGTGGTGCATGCTACACGGAAGGCGGGCGGGCAGGCGGGCGGGCGGCGGGCGGGCGGGCGGGTCGGAATGTTCATAGACTCCTGAAGGAGTCTCTCTTGCAGCGAGAGCCTGTTGAGTATTGGGTGTTGTCTTGGAGGCGGAGGCTGTTGACTACAGGGTGATGTATTGGAGACGGAGGCTGTTGAGTACAGGGTCGTACATGCTACACGGGAGGCGGGTGGGTGGGCCGGCGGGCGGGCGGGTGGGTCGGAATTTTCATAGATTCTTAAGGATTCTCTCTTGCACGGGAGTCTATTGAGTACTGGGTGTTGTCTTGGAGACGGAGGCTGTTGACTACAGGGTGATGTCTTGGAGATGCAGGCTGTTGAGTACAGGGTGATGCGGGCTACACGAAAGGCGGGCGGGCGGGCGGGCGGCGTGCGGGCGGGCGGGCGGGCTTGCGATTCGGGATTTGAATCGACTCCTTACGGGTTCTCTCTTGAAGCGGGAGCCTGTTGTGTACTGGCTGTTGTTTTGGAGACGGAATCCCACGAGTAGTACAGGTTTTCTTTTGGAGACGGAGGCTGTCCCTCCAAGGTTCATGGAACTTGAAACGGACGGGTCTTTCGGGGAATCGCACGATGGATATTTCGAAAATTGCGTGGGGGGATCTTGAACCGATTATATTCATAGCTTTATTTTTGGCTACATATATATATATATATATATATATATGTGTCGCTTCTCCTCTCTTTCTCTCTTTGTCGCTCTCCTCTCTCTCTTTGTCTCTGTTTCTGTCTCTGTTTCTATCTCTGTCTCTGTCTCTGCCTCTCTCTCTCTCTCTCCCTGTCTGTATTCATGTGTATATATGTATGGGTCGGAGGACACGGAGCATGAGACGTGGTCGAAGGATCGACGATCGAGGGTTTGGGGGGGTATTCTTGGGCCTGCTGGCGCGTGGGGCGCTGCTTGTCGCTCCCTCGCCGCCCCGAGGCCCTCCCCCGGCTCGCTCGCGGGGGCGCGAGGGAAATGGCGCCCCGAGAGGAGTGGGCGAGTGGGCGCGAGGATCGTCGCGCTGCGCGCGGCGCGAATCGGAAAGGGCGACGGCGACGGCGACGCCGACGACGACCACGACTACGACGACGACGACCACGACGACTGCGCGCGAGGATCGCCGCGCAGCGCGCAGCGCGAATCGGGCAAGGCTTTCCTTGCCTCGCGCTTGCTCGGCGTTGTTGCTCAGTGGTCGTTCATGGGAGCCTCAGATTGTCCCTAAGTTCCTTCCAGTTTCAGGGGGTTTCTTCTGGAGTTCGTCCAAACTTCGTCGAATTTGATAGACGTTTGGACGACATCTGGACGACACCTGCGGAATCTGGACGACATCTGGACCAACGAGTGCAAATGAGTGGTCAAAATCTTGACGGCACCCAGTCGAAATCACGTTCATGATAGGACCGCGGATGTCCACAGAGGCTCCCATGAAGGCTCACCCAGTTGTTCCTCGAATGCTCATTCGTAGATTCCGTCAGTCCCGCCCCGGGCCCTGGTCTTAATACAGTCGGACCGATGATATGGTTCCGATGACGATATTTACAGGGTTCCGATGACCCGCTCGGATTAGTAACATGATCTGCGGGCTCCATAGGGGGTGGGGCTCCCGCTCTAGACTTCCTCACAATACACTCATAGACGAGGCTCCCGTTTGGTACTTCCTCAAGTGTGGGTGTGAGTGAGATGATCGAGGGAGCGTGAGCGAGTATGTCAGTGATGATGATGATGATGATGATGATGATGATGATGATGATGATGATGTTGATGTGGTGGTGGTGATGATGATTCGGATGATGCTGATGATGATGCTGATGCTGCTGATTATGATGATGATGATGATGATGATGATGATGATGATGATGATGATGATGATGATGATGATGATGTTGGTGATGCTGATGATGATGCAGCTGCTGGTGATGATATGAGTGTGTGAGTGTTTGAGTGAGAAGATTGGTGCTGTTCTTGTTTCTGCGCGGGGTGTCCAGAGAAAACAAGACCCTCACTTTGGATGGGAGGAACTACGATTACTAATACAAGTATGAGTAATACTAAGAACAACCATTTTCATAGTAGTAATACTAGTGGTGCCAGTAATATTTGCTAATAAATATAGTATAGCGACTACCAGTTATAGTGATATTGGACATATCAATAACAGTATTATTAGTATCTCTGTAGCCATCGTAGTCATAACATGTATACATATGCTACTACAACTACTACTAATACGATCAAGACTACTACGGCGAAGCATGCAACTACTATGAACATTATGTCCAATCGCAAGAATAATACCAATAGGACTAACGACGATGCAACTATGAATCATATTTGAAGATAATAAGATGAATCATGTTACTACGCATATAATATTAATACCCGTATCGGTATTTATATTCGTATTCCCATTCATATTACTATTAGAACCAATCTTAATATTCCTATTCGTAGCAATATTACTAGTATTATGAATCATACCTTATAAGAGTATTACCAATACTAATTTCAATAATAATACCAATAATAGCCATCATAATATTATCAGTCATCATACATTTTCATAGTACTAAAAACAATGATAAGACACGAGCACTTATATTTATGTTTCTAGTATTGATACTATCAATGAATCCCAAGAGCAGTAATTATACCCATACTAGTACTTTTATTATTACTACTATTACTATTATTACTACTATTACTATTAGTAGTAGTAGTACTACTACTACTAATACTAATAATACTTTCTAATATTAATAGTACTGATACTAATAGTGCAGATACTAGTCAGTAGTAGCAATATCAATACTCATATTAATACCAACAGGAATCACAACAAAAACAATAGGAATATTAATAGACATCATGCTCATAATGATATTACTACTAATCAGCATAATACTACTACTACCAATAATACTATTCATAACAATGAAAGTAGTAATACTCATGCTCATCATAGCAATACCAATAATACTAATAGTACTAAATATTATTCATACTACTAGTACTACTACTAATAATAATTGTACTACTAATAAAAATAATATTAACATTACTAATAATACGTATACTACTACTAATAATAGTAACAGTGATAATATTATTATTACTACTAGTCGTAATAGTAATACTAACAATAGTAATACTATTATTGTTAGTATTATTGTTATTACCAATAATACTAACAATACTAGTGATACTGATAATGACAATACTAATGTTAATAATGATAAGAAGAAACATAACAATACTACTACTACTACTACTACCACTACTACTATTAATAACAGTACTCATAACTCGTAATACTAATACTAATCATAGTCGTACTGATCATAAGACAAGTAAGATGAGGAGGAGCAGGCGGTGGAGGAGGAGGGGGAGGGGGAGGAGGTGGAGGTGGAGGAGGAGGAGGAGGTGGAGGAGGTTGAGGGGGAGGGGGAAGGAGGAGGAGGAGGAGGAGGAGGAGGAGGAGGAGGAGGAGGAGGAGGACGGGGAGGGGGAAAGCTGCTCGAGCCCGGCCCTGCCACCCGCGGCGCGGACCGGAGAGGGTCGAGGGGGCGAGTGTGGGAGGGGCAGGGGAGACCCCCCTCGGGCGCCAGGCAGCCAGCCAGCCTGGCCCAGCCAGCCTTGGCGGTCCGCGCGGATTTCTTGGACCCGCGCTGAACCCCCCCGGCGGCGCCTCGGGCGCCGCCCCTGGCGCGCTCCGCGCGCCAGGGAGGGGGGTTTCAGCGCAGATCCAAGAAATCCGCGCGGACCTCCAAAAATGTGTTTATGTAGTCGTTTCTTCCTCTGTAGATCGGGTCGGAGGTTCGCACCGCGTCGCCGATGCATCGCCGATGCGGCTCGATGCGGAGCCCGATTTGCCTCACGCTGACGTCGCCGATGCATCGCTGATGCATCGCCGATACATCGGCGATGCATTGGCGATGCGGCGGGATCCGTCGACCCCATCTACTCGGACCCCAACTAGGAGCTCGTCGTGGTGCGCCCACGGCCCCCCGTTCCTCTCAGGCAGAGCGGCGGGATGTCCCCGTGGGGCGCCGAGCCGGGCATGGGCATGGCGGAGGAGTCCTAGGAGGCCTCTAAAGAGACGGGGGTCTGTGCAAACGGGGATGAGTCAGAGCGCCGGATCTTGCAAGATCTTTCAGGGCTAGGGATGCACTGACCCAGGTTAGCGTGCAGGGTCCTGCAGGATCTTGCAGGATCCTGCAAAGCCCGAGAAACCCGGCTTTGGATTGACCCGGGTCAGTAGATCCCCGACACGACGGGCGGTGGGCGCTGGGGAGGATCGCGCTACTTCGCCAGCCAACCCCGTCTGCTACCTTGGTCGTCTTCTTTGTCCTCGGCGTCGGGTCGAGGCGGAGTTTTGTGATTCTCGCTGTTCTCGGAGTCTGCGGGCGGTTTCTCGGGATTCAGGGCCATCACAAAACGACGGTCAGGATGAAGAGACCGTCCCCAGGAGAGCGCCCCAGGGCCCACGCATTGGAGGATTGGGAGAATTAGCTTCTGCTCTCAGGGCAGGTTTTTTGTTGTTGGTGCCATTTGTTGATGGCTCGTGTCGGCGGTGGTGCCGTCCAGTGGGGAGGAAGGCCCACGCCCATGACCCGCAAGAGCAACAGCCTTCTCCACTGCTGGAGGGTGTGGCGAAAGTGAGGGGAGAGACCGGTGGCCGAGGTACAAAGTCAAATATCCAGAGAATTTCTTCATGCTGCGCGGCAACCACGAGTGCTAACTGCTTTGTCGCTGCTGTGCTTGCCTCTCGCAGGATGTTTCTGTCTCCGCGCCCATATGTGTATGCCTGCTTCTAGCCCAACACCGCTTTCTACCCCCGTATTCTTTTCTCCACAGCTTCCTCTAACTACCGTGCATCTTTACGTTGGTCTCCATCTCTGTGCAGCTGCCTCTCTCTTCATATTGTAGTTGGTGCTACGTGTTGATTGACTCGTTTTTGCAGTTTCTTCTTTCATGTCTGCTTCTCTGTGTATCAGTGCCTCCTGCTCCCTCTCTCTCTATCTCCCCATTCCGTCCAAATAAGTAGTCGCATCTGCTTCCAGTTCTGCCTCTTCGCTTCTCCGTCTGGCCGTCTCTCCGTCTTCAGCTAGGTTTCTCGGTGTTTTTGTTTACTGGTTTCTGTCTGCCTTTGTCTTTGTCTCGCATTATTTCCCATTTGTTTTTTTGTCTGTATCTGTCTCTCTGTATGTTCGTCTTCTGTCTATGTGCGTACATCCCACTCTGTATGTATGCATGTATGTATGTATGTATGTATGTATGTATGTATGTATGTATGTATGTATGTATGTATGTATGTATGCATGCATGCATGCATGCATGCATGCATGCATGCATGCATGCATGCATGTATGCATGTATGCATGTATGCATGTATGCATGTATGCATGTATGCATGTATGAATGTATGAATGTATGAATGTATGTACATGTATGCATATATATATATATATGAATATATGCAAGACTGCAGTGGCGCTTCGCGCCGTGCACCTTCGTCCTTGAAATTTGGCATGCAGGCGGAATAGCAGAAAGGTCAATCCGACACTTTAGCGATAACTCCTTGTTGCCGTTTCCGGCATCGCCGCTATAATAATGTTATTCGTTATCCTTCCTCCATGTTTCTTTTTCCTCATTTTCGCCATACCTTGCGCATTCTTCCCATCCTCAGCTCTTTTTTGCGGGGGCTCCTCCTTGGAGAGCCTCTGGGGGCCTCGCAAAAGTTGTTTCAGGCTTTCTTAAGGCCTTCTGGAGGCCTTCTGGGCGTATTCTGGGGGCCTGTGGGGGCTTCCTCGGGCCACCCTGCCTCCAACCGCGGTCTCCCTGAACGACCAGGTCACGATTTGGAATGCTTCGGAGGGTGTCTTGGGGCCATCTTGGGCCGCCATGGGGCTCTCTGAGGGCCATCTTGGACCCATGTTGTGCCGTTTTGGTGCTCTCTAAGACTGCCCGGAAGCCCTTTCGGATGGTTTTGGGGCGATTTTGGAGCCTCCCAGGCGGCTTCGGACGCCCAGAAGACCGCCGTCTTGGAGCGTCGGAAAGCCGAAAAGAGGAGAACCCCAACATTCACCAACAACCAACAGAAAATCAACGATTTTTGCCTCTTGGGGCCTTCTTGGTAGTGCTCTTGGAGGCCTCTTTGGGGCCGTCCTGGAGGCCTCTTGGGCCGGGGCCATCTTGAGGTCACGTTGGTCACTCTTGGAGCGCTCCTGTGCTGTCTTGGGGGTCTCTGGGACGTCTCCGATGACCCCCCTACGCTCTGCGAGGCCTGGGGGGCCGCTTCGAGGCCCGCCTGGAGGGTCCCAAAGCCCCAGATCCCGGGAGTTTGGTTTTTGGGGGGGTTCCCCCCGCCCGGGCTTCTAAAATATAGGAAGAGGAATCTGTTTGTGCATGTGTGTGTGATTATATATGCACCAATACGCAGGGGTGTCTTCCTGTGCCTCTCTCACAGTATTTCGCCCTCCAGTGAGAGAACGTCTTTGTGGACTGCTCTCCAGCACGCTTGACTATGAATTCTGTTGGCGCAGCCCGTAGCTGAGGGTGCAGCGTACACATGCGTTATCAAAGCTGAAGCCGCATGGTTGCGAGAAGGGATGATGGAGTCAACAGAAGGCATATGTATCCTCGAGAGGTGCGCTGCAATCACTCGGATCTATGGATTCTATGACGAATGCAAGCGGCGCTACAACATCAAGGCCCGACCCCTCGGCCGCCTCCTCTTTCCGTTCCTGCCGCTTGGTTGCAGTATGTCGTCGACAGCCGCAGGATTTGATCCAAGCGAGAGGGTGGGAACGGGTGAATGTGCAAGATAATGAGGACGTTCTTGGTGGGTCATCCCAAAACATGCGTCTCCAGGTCCCTCCAAGGCCTCCGGGGGGGCATCGAGGGCCCAGAGAAGGAGGCGGAGGAGGGAGGGGGAGAGGAGGATGAGGGTGGTGTAGCCCCAGGAGGGGTACCTCGGTGCGTGGGCGGCGCATCGGGGGCCCTGGGGGAACGCTGCGGTCAGCGTGGAGGCCGCGCGGCGACCAAGAAGTGTGGGTGCTTTGACGGGCCTGGGGCAGCCCCCTCCAGTCTAGCGGTGGCCCCGCTGTGGTAGGGGCTGCCGTCTTAGGCCCATCGGGGACCTGGCCTCAGGGGGCGCGGGAGTGCACGTCCCTGAGTCGGCGTGAATCGGTGCTCCAGTCTGCGTCGGCCCGCGCGGTGACAGTCCTGATGGGGGCTGGCCCCGTCTACTGTCTTGGCCCTCCCGCACTTCTCTGGGCAAGGGTGTGGATAGGTGGTCGGCCTGCTTTGTTTGCGCGCGCGCACAGGCGTGTGCCGTGAAGCCCTCCCTTCGGCAAGGTGGCCTCGGGAACCCGTGAAGTGCGTCCGCTGGGAGTCGATCGCGAGCCACGAGGGATGAGGATGAGGACGACGAGGACGATGCCGAGACTTTCTTATGACTTTCGCTCCAGGGTGAATCTAAGCCGTGCCAGCCTCGTCGGCCAGCAGCTGCCCTCCTGGCTCCGCCAGGGGCGCTGCCGATGCCGATGCGGCTCCACCGGGCCCAGCCTCAGAGGGAGGAGGAGAAGGAGGAGGAGGAGGAGGAGGAGGAGGAGGAGGAGGGAACAACATCTAGCTGCTGTCTGAACTCAAAGATCTTCTCAAAGGGGAGCAATGCCCTAAGATGATCTCATCACCCCGTCTTCAGTTCGGGGACTTACCGTTCAAAGCGCGGCTCCAATTGGGCTTTGTCCTGTTGGAGACTCTGGCTGGGTGGCAGGGTTCTTCTAACCCTGGCGCCCTGGCACCTTCAGAGTAAGCGCCACATGCGCGGCAGATTGTGAGGATGCCCGTTGGATGCCCTGTGACGTGTAGAGCGTAGCCGCATTGGATGTGAAGCAGACTGCGTAAATTTGTTGTGGCGCCGTGACGCCCCTCCTCTGGGGGAGGCGGGTGCCAAGAAGCATCGGACGAGGCCGGCTGCCTTTCTCTGTTGCTGCGGCGCTCGCAGTTGAGACACATCCAGTAGCCTTCTGGACGCCATCTCCATACCTGCAGATTGGGGCCGTCTCCAACGGCCCGAGGAGCAACAGAAGGAGGGGGAGGAGGAGGGAAGGATGGCTCCTGATCTTCGCGCGCACCAGCCACTGGCCCATGGATCCTGAGCTTATCTTGAACATGCTCAGTAGCGTGAGGACCAAGGGCATCAAATAAGACACCTGAACTCCCCTGAAGTACAGTGGGCCTTACCCGCTTTCACTTCCCTTTGGGAGGTCGGGGGGACAGTGTAAGGCCCTAGGTACAAGTCGCAAGTCGTTACTGAGCGCTTTCCCTTGGAATTCCCCAATTTCACAGCACCTAACTTAGCTGCAGCATCTGCTATCTCTTTTCCTCTTGCTTTGTACCAATCGGGTGAGAAGCGCTCAAAGGAATCTGGACTTGCACGGGCCTTGATCGACCAGTGCTCATTCAAGAGTTAAGAATTTGAGGCCCGCGTAGTAGTTCTTTCGATGCAAGCTCTTCTGCCGCGGCTTTCCATGTATTCCCGAGAATCCAGGGTAGTTTGCATGAGCAATGCAAGCCCCAGGGAGATGAGGAGTAAAGGAGTAACCGCAAAGGCTGCAATGGGGTCTTCCGATGGTGAGGTCTGTGGAAGCATGTCTCCCATTCTCCCGTAGAGTCTACCCAAGAGTTTTCCTTCGGCGATAATTCAGACATGCTCCAACCCGCGTGGTGGTACTGCTTGGCACCTTCCTTGAAGCAACTCCCGTCTACGAAGATATCGCCTACCGTTACCTCCTGGTAGGGTTCGCCTGGTCTGGTCCACGACTCAAAGCTGGTCCAGCTGGGGCGACAAAATTAAGGAACGGAGGGCACAACCTGAAGCCTAACAAGAGGTGATGCGTGATGCTTGTGCTCTGGATGGATCAGGACATCCTTATCTGACTTTCTGATCCACTCCTCCCTGCAAGACTCCGTCCCACTGCACTCCCAGATTATGATGGAGACTTTCAGAAGGGTGCTCCGCATAGAGGACAATGCGTTGCGACGTCATAACCCAACGCATGCTGTCTGGATCGAGACCATTGCGACTGGGAGAGGAATGATTTCAGGAGCTTTCGAAGATTATGATCATACTTCTTGCCATACTTGGGCCAAACTTTCGTTTGGAAGGGGAGAGTTGTTTGCTGCTGCAACTGCTGTCTCATGCCGCCAGTGCTTCTGCACCAAACACTGCGACACCTGGGGTGAGGTATCATATTGCTTGAAGGAAGGATCTTGACCGTTTGTACGTGTAGAGGCCCAGTCAAACTCCCAACTCATTCTTTCCAACGGGAAGTGTGCTGCTCCGAGAGGATTTTGTTTTGTTGACCAGGCACTTAGTAAGCGAGACAAAACTGGATTGGCCAATCTAGCTAGCTGAAGAAGTGCGACTGCCCCCTGACTTCTTCTTGCCGTAGCTGTCTTCCACACTCGTGTCGACCATGTCAATGCTGAGCCCAAACCTTGTCTCCAGGTGGGATCGTCCAAAAGCATGGACATAACTGGCTTGGAGCTTGGAGCTACTCTTGCACGGGTTACCCTCGATACGGGGATACTCGTGCCGTGCCTCGTCCAGCTCCATGTGCGCTGTTCCGGCAACTTCGGACCCATGGAAGCCAGACCTCTGAAAGCCCAGAATTGACATGGGTTCCCTCTGAACGCCTGCCTTCTTTGAAGCATGCAACTTCCATTTGCGCTTTTTGAGGGCCTCCAGCCTACCCTTTAAAGTAAGGTTGGGCCCACTTCGACATGTCAGTTGACCTGCGCAACCATCGTTTCCTAGAGTTGTGGCCGCCAGTCCGTTGTGCGGGCCCGCGTGCTGGCTGGAGGAGGCAGCATGCTCTTCAATTTCATGCTACTTGCAACATTGGCCGCTCTGTGATGTACAACCTTGCAATTCGTGGCCGCTGCGATCAGTTCTGACAAGCCAGCTGCTGCATGTGTTAATGCGTTCACCACTTCACGCGCACGTCTGTTGGAGCACATGCCTACTGCGTCGTCGATGAAGAGAGTGATGTCCGCATCCGGGTACTCCTTTCTCTGAATTTCCAGGGGTGGCAGGGGAATTACCTGGACCAGATTCGTTGCAATTTCCCGATGAACTAAGAATCCTGCGACCCGCATATTGTTTGAGAAAGATGGCCAGCACCGCTGAGGGGCGCGCCTGTTCCTGGGCCCTTTCCCAAAGCACGTTTGGATCCATGTGTTCGTAGTAGTTGCTCAGGTCCTGTAGAGAGCAGCCAGTGTGCATGTTATTTGCTCAGTGCTGCCGACTCTGCTTGAAGACTTTGTGGATATACGAGCTCCGTGATCGATCTGCCAGCTTGGTGGCCCATGAGCTTGCTCTTGTTTGCTCGTTCCCAGGCTCTGGGTATATCTTGGCGTTCACGCGCGTAAGCCTTACAGGCTGGGTAATAACCCCGTTCCACGGCGTCCCAGTCCGACTGATTCTAGTCAATGCTTCGGGATCAGGCGAGTCAGGATTGGTGGATCTGATCTGGCATGATGCCGACTCTCTCGACAATTCGGAGCAGCTTGGCCACGACTGCAGGCTGGGGGTCTTTTCAAAGTCGGTAATGTCTAGGGCGAAGCCCATCCCGTGTCTGAGACGTTTTGGCAGCCTCTCTGAGGTCCTGAGGGTTTACTTGCCGAGCTTTTTCCAGCTACCCGCAGTGACTTCATATCAGTGTCTTGAACGTGCTTTTGAATTCCAATGCTCCTTCAGATGCTGCTTTTCTTTCTCGTGGAGCTTTGTTGGCCTGGTGGATTGGCTCGCGTCTCCCCCTGTGCCGATTGACCTCCAATGTTCTTTTAGTTTACTCCACCTGTGCCCCCAGCTCGTTCCCTTACCCATTGCCTTTTCAACCCATTTCTTCTAAGCAGTAGTGGACGCGGTCGTGGTAAGCTCCCGCTCCTGCCTGACAGCCTCCTTCACCCGGTCAGTAAAGGTGATCGGGGCCCTGGCCGCTATTTCCACCTGTAACCTTCCTTCCCCCTGATTCATCTCGAGGGCGCCCATGTATGCGGCTGCCTTGGCGCGTATCCCTGCGAGGGATGGGCAAGTAGAAAACTTCACCAGCGCCTCCCGAAACTCTGAAGATAGTCGTGACAGTGTTAAGGGTTGGCCTACAACTGAAGTGGGTTCCGAGAGTCCTCTTGTATGAGGGTCCGAAACTTCCCCAACGGCGCCGGAACCTGCGTGGGTCCAGATCTTAGCCCATGTCCAGGAAAGGACTAGACGACTAGACTTTGCCAACTCTTACGGGTCTTTCCTTGGGCCTGGCTTCGAGGGGCCGTCTTATTTATCGGTGGGTCGGCGCGGTGAATCATGTGCGTGGGGGAGTGTCAGTTGCTCTGTTGACTGTCTTTCCGAATAGCTCAACAATGTGTTTGTGCGCGTGATCCAGAAAGATCCTTCGCTTCTGACTTGAAAGGCTTGGGTTGTCTATGGGGAAGTTCATCTCGTCCAGGAAACCATCTAGAGATGACCAATCAACTGGTTCTGGTGAGGGTCCAAATGGTCTCCGAGTGGGTGGACGCGGTGACACTGCCAGCATTGGTACAAGCTCCTCATCTGACACGTTGATGTGGATGCACACTGGATGATGCGGAGAATGGGGAAAGATGCTATCCGTAACTGCGTGCACCATCAATCATGTCTGCAAGGGAC